GTCTATGGAGAAATGCTTTGATGTAAGTCCAGATATACCGAAAGGCTAATCTGTGAGCATGCTTAGTAACTCTTTAAGTGATTGCTGGCGTCTCCCTCCTGTAGATCTTTATGTTCCAGCTGCTGCGTGGTCTTTCCTACTGCCACAAAAGAAAGATCCTCCACAGAGACCTGAAGCCCCAGAACCTTCTCATCAACGATAAAGGCGAACTCAAACTGGCTGATTTCGGTAGGAAACAGACAGAAAAACACGAAACAAACGGTTTCTTTACCGTGAAAGAACCACCCTCCATGTTTTATCGCCACACTGAGGTTTGAGATGCTGATTAGTCTCAGTCTTTCTTCATGTTTCCTAGCAACCATACCCCTCTCTGTTGATCTTCTCAGTTTGGATTTAGAAGCAGGTCGATAAGCTCACCAGTGTCTCTGACTATTTTTATTAGCTTGAACTAAACACATGATTGATGAACTGCTGGGAACAAAAGCAAATCGAGATCCTGGTTGAGGTGAAGATGGAGGACCTGGACTCTAACGTCTCCATCTCCTCCCTGTTCAGGTCTGGCCAGAGCTAAATCTGTTCCCACCAAGACCTACTCCAACGAGGTGGTGACTCTGTGGTATCGACCCCCCGACGTGCTCCTGGGCTCCACCGAATACTCCACGCATATCGACATGTGGTGAGAAATAAAGCACATCCCACCCTGACCGTCTGCTATTTAAAGGCTGGGGATAGAATTACATTTATTACTGACAGATGTCAGAAAATTATCCTTTTTTAAAAATACCTTTATATTTTATTGTGATGTCAATCAAAGGATATCTACGGAAGAGAATAAGGGCCACTGAAAAAACAAACAAAACAAAGTTAACTGATTTTTAAATTTTATTTCAGTTTAACATGGGAAAAAAGCCCAGCAGTCTGCACCTTGTCCTTCTCCCATCTCCACTCAGCCTCCTGCCACACCTTTCCTTATTAAACCAGGGCTCAGGTTTAACTTTGGGCTGCACAGTTTCCACTGGAGCGATAGTCCCATCTGGTCTTGCAGAGAGAGAGAGGGTCGATCAGGTGCTGAGCTGCTCTGTGTTAGCAGAGGCAGGACAAACTCAGAGCTACATCAAACCGTCCAGCAGTTAGAGAGTTTCTGCATCAAGGAGGCCCCTCCTCCAAAGCACAGTCTGATGCCAATCAAAGACCCTCCATTGTTCTCCTGGGTTGCTGAAATCTTTTGTTCTGTTGTGTTTTGTTTTGGCCAATAGAGTCAGTTATGCCCGTATATCGTCTTTAGGATGAGTTCCAGGACAAAAGTCTGATTTCTTCTAATTTAAGCTATTCTGTGGTTGCCATGATCCCGACGACTGAGAATCTACAGGAAAAACCAAACAAACTGCGTATTTTACCGCAGTGGGAGCTTAAAAGAACAGAAAACAGATTAAATGAAACAGAGATATCCTTGTTAGGGCAGCAAATACAGATTTACGTTCAGTGCCCAGCTCGTTTATGATACTCTGATCTTGCCAGCACCAGCAAGAAAACACAAACTGGAGCTTATAGAGTTTGAAGCAGACAGTTTCAGCCTCAGAACAAGGCTGTGCACAAAAGCTTTACAAAAGTTTCAGAAATCTTCTGTGAATCATTTAAAATAAATAAATGCGTGCATTTAGATGGTTCTCTTTCATGTCAGCAAACTGCATTAAGACTTTACACTCACCGGCCACTTTATTAGGTACCCCATGCTAGTAACGGGTTGGACCCCCTTTTGCCTTCAGAACTGCCTCAATTCTTGGAGGCATAGATTCAACAAGGTGCTGGAAGCATTCCTCAGGGAGTTTGGTCCATATTGACATGATGGCATCACACAGTTGCCGCAGATTTGTCG